AGACATCAAAATTCATTTCATTCTATAAATGTGTGCATTTTTGTAGCAAGTATTTTCTTGTGTATTTTATTCTTTTATTTAAATATATTTGAATATAAATAGTGTATATGATGGAATTATAGTTCTCATAAAAATCATAGTCTACAGTGTATTTTACAAATGTTTTAGATGTGAAAAAGAACACTCTGCTCCCTTTATGACTCCTATTATATGTGCAAATAAAAGCAGCTATAAAAATAGCAACTACAGTTAAGCAAAAATGGTTTTGACAAAATTCAAGAAAAATGCTAAGTTAACGATGTGGGAAAACGACCAGAACTTCAATACAAATTGACTCTGAGGTTTATTTATTATATCAAAACCCTGGTGGATGAAGACCCAACAAAAACGGCGATACGTGTTGCTAATGACATTAAAAAAACTGCGTCTTCTATGTTTCAATAACAATAATGAAAGGTTTTCTGAATACGTCGTAGCTATGATGCAACCAACACGGAATTTGATGCACAGATGCAGGAGAATAAAGGTGAAATTTCAAAGATTTGGGACGTATACATTTTTCAATCCATCTGAAAATGATAAAAAAATTAAAAATTAACCAAGACTGGTAATAAATTAAAAACTTAGGCAAAGAAAGGAACCTATTTAACAGTGTGAATTTAGAACTATTACAAATAGGAAATATTAGCAACTGTCTATATTTCTAAGATGAGGTATTATGTACACTATTTACATTATTCAAACTCTTGACTTTATCTGTTTTGTCCTATTCACGACTTTTCGGGCATTCCCCTTAATACTTCAACTCTCCAAGTTTCTCCACTTCTGCTATGGGCATTAAAATTACAATACTTTGGATCAAATCACTGGATTACTTCACCAAACTCTTTTATCCAATGGGGCATTCATCGTTGAGGAGATCAGTAAATCTATCTATCTCAGTCTGTTCATATATATATATATATATATATATATATATATATATATATATATATGTATGTGTATATTTACCACTAATATTATATATATATATATATATATATATATATACATATATATATATTTCATTCTCTTCATATCCATCTATTTAATTCTCTTCATAGCTATCTATCTATCTATCTATCACAATCGGATCATTATCTGTCTATCTATCTACATATCTGACTCAATGGCTTTCAAACTGCGTAATTAATCAAATTTTGGTAAATATGGGTGTTTGAGTCGTGTCTATCCTTCTACCTATCTATGTGTCACAATGGTTTTCAAACTGCGTAATTACCTAAAATTTGAGATATATATATATATATATATGTTTGAGTCGTGTCTATCTATCTATCCGCCAGTCTATCTATCTATCTCTCTCTCTCTCTCCACACACACACATATATATATATATATATATATATATATATGTGTGTGTGATCTGGTGAATCAAAGAATATTTTAAAGAGGCCAAAATTCAGCTAGTAGATAAAAAAACACCTAAAGCCAACCCAGAGATCCTCTCCCTGAATACCAAAAGCATTAACAAGCTCGCTAAATATGATGCTTCCAAATGAATCAATTGACAAGGAAACGTGCACAACACTTCCACCCACAAACGTCATAGCTACCCTCTTCTATCTTCTTCCCAAAATAAACAACAAGGAAGAATAATCATTTCATCATTTAACTGCCACACGACTAAAATATCCAAATACGTAGACCACTACATAAGTAAAGTAAAATACTACATCAGAGGCACAACAGACCTACTAAACAGAATTAATCATATACAGAAAATGCAACTCTAATAAACATGGACGTCAGATCACTTTAACAAACACGTTGACGAACTAACCGCCCTTAAAAAAGTACTTACTAAAAGAACAAAGCAAGACCAACTCCCCACAGAAGTAATCATAAAAATTATGGAATATATTCTTACATTAAATAATCTCCATTTCAATGGCAAACACTATATACACGTCAGAGGATGTGCCATGGGCACCTTTGCAGCTCTATCATATGCCACAATCTTCATGGGGAAATTTCAGGAGACCCATATTTATCCCTTCATCGGCAACAACTGCATATTCTATGCAAGTTATATCGATATATTCTTCATACAAAGGGCCGTGAGGAGAAAATCACTGAATTGCTTCTGGTCCTAAACACGGTACATGACTCCATTAAGTTCGACCACAAAAATTAACAAAATCGGTAACTTTTTTAGACACCCACATCTACATCGGTAAAAACAGAAAACTGCAACGACACTACACACTAAAATCACCGACACCCACAACTATTTACACTTTAAGTCTTCCCTATTCACAAGCACTTAGACTCAGAAGGATATGTTCTAACAATGAAGTACTAAGTAAAAATCTTAAGTATTAATTCACAACACGTGGCTATAAACAACATCTAATCTGGAAATAAATAAATAAAACAATTTCCACGCCTAGAAAAGACATCCTAATGTATAAAATTAAAAATAAATCCAGATGCATATTTCTAATAACTACTTTCAACACCACTCTTCCTACCACTAACTCAGATAATCAAAAGTCGCTGGAAGATACTACATCTCAAACGATACCTAAAAACATATTTGAGGAACCTGGACTTCTAGAATATCGTAGGCCCAAGAACGTTAAGGAAATTAAAGGTAGTAACCAAATTTCAGATGATAATGTAACCCGTAAAAGACCAAAAATAAAAACAACATGATTTTACCAACCATGTAACAACAAAAGGAGCCTATGCTGTAACCACATTAGACATACCAATTTGTTCACGAGTTCAGTCACTAAATCGACTTACAAAATCTGCCACAACTCTAACTGTAGAAGTCATAACATAAATTAACTATTAGAATACACTCTATGCCAGATACTATATGTGAGGAAATCTGAATGGACATTTCAATACAGAATTAATAATTATTGGAATCAGATCGTCGGCTCCCCACGAAAGATTATGACCTGTAGAACAACATTTCCGCCTAGAAAAACATGATTTTAAAAGCCATGCAAAATTCACTATAATTAAAAAAAATAGAAATAGACAGATTTGATAAAATTAGAAAAATACTAGAGGAACATGAAGACAAATGGATTTTGCGCGTCAAACATAAAACAAGCTTAACCACAAATTTAACAACAGAAATAGAATTAATATATAAGCACATAAATCAAGCCCTACCCACATTTCTCACCCACACATAACAGACATGCTTGTAGAGGTGTTGAAGGCTCACACTTATAAACACACTGACACAGATATATATACATACACACATCACAAGCACTCCCAAAGAGATAAAAGTAACGTACACTTAACACACACACGCGTCCCATTCCCAGCAACCAATAAAAATGTCAAAATAACCAAGGAAGACATTCTGAAAGTCAGGAATCTCCCATTCTCTATTTTTAAAACAACTTGAATGATGATGTTTAACCAACATAAGGATTGGCCAAAATTAACGATAAAAACAAATGAAAACTACAGATAAAGTTAACTTTCTTCACAACAGTCATTCACTCCTGTGATTCACTTTTACTAACAAGCACAAATTTTTTTTCTCTCCCGGTGGCCGAAACTAGTCAAGAAACCTAACTGAAATAATAAAACAAAAATATATTAATATACAACACATTGTGTCTGAAAATTTTATATTCTTTATTGTTCAAAACACACACACACATAGTAACCAAATGCTTATTAATTATTCAGATTTGGATAAAAATGGCTCCCTGAGTTGTTTAATGACATCCTATTACTAAATGTTCTGACAAAAATGTTCAAAAGTTCAATTCGTAGAAGGTGAGCCAAAATTTACGAAGCTGTGTGAAATAAAATTAAAAAGTTTTTCTGTATATTACTTTAGGATCTTATAAAGAAAACTTTTGAAAATAACTATAAAATATATATATATATATATATATATATATATATATATATATATATATATATATATATATATTTTATAAAAGGCTCAAACACTAATATTCCATGGTTATAAGTTATTACATTTGAATCGTAATCACGATCAAATTCATGAAACCTACAAATTCAGAAAAGAATTTTACTCTTTCCTGGACACTGAGTTCTACCTGGATTCTATCCTCTTAGGAAAAAAAAATATATATATATATTGTCATCCACACACCGACTTTTCCGCTGTATTACAGCTCATCAGTGTGTCTAGACGCTCGGTTGCCTCTAGCTAGGATCGAAACCCGACTGAATTAGCGCCAGTTGGTGATTCTCCCACTAAGCCGTTGGGTGAATTTAAGGGTATTTATTTTTAGATTAACACAGTGACTGACAGAACTCGATTCGATTTACCGAAGAGTCTTGCATTATTAGCCGTAATAGCCACTATTTAAAAAAAAACACAAGCAGGTGGATCCTATTAATATCAGACATTAAAACTGAAAAATGAAGCTATGGTTTCGACAATAAACAAATAGATATCACGCTCATCTAAACGTTGCCCATAGTTACTGTCAAGGGCTTGAGAGTTTAATTAGGCCGAAACAAAATAAATCAAGAATTCTCATTAGTTTTAATGCCAATTCATTCATAATTAGTGCTCCAACTTTTAGCTCTTATCATTATATATATATATATATATATACACACGCATATATATATATATATATATATATATATATATATATGTATGTATGTATATGTTTGTGTGTGTCTATAATATAAATAGAAATTCTATTATGAAAGATTGATTAATTCGTTTTCTACGGCATATCAAACCATTTCAGGATATTTAAAGCAAGATAGATTGTAGGAATTTTTGGAGATGATAATGGTTTAAGGATACAAGTCCTATTAGTTAACCCTTAGCTAGGGGGGGCTAGAAGTGGTGGAATCATACCTTTCCCAACTATAGTTGCGAGTAAGTTAATATAACGAACCCAACTGAAATTGAAACTCGGCTCTCCGATTAACAATTCCGAGCAATTATCCATTACACCACACGCACGTCCAAGCTTACAGCAACTGGTATTCCCAAGTGGTTACCCATCTAGGTACTGTTCATACTCAACATTGCTTAACTTCGCTGATCATACGGGAATCTGTGTTCCAACACTATATGGCTTTTTCCCTATTATGAAAGGAGAATATACAAAACGAGAATTAATTACGGCAGGGTAGTGGGTTCGATTCTCACTGGGTTCTCCAGGCTACGCTTAGAAAATCTCTATACAAAACACTAGATGTTTTTAAACACTCGGACGCATGTTGAAATCCTTAAAGCATTAGTTGAAGTCATGGCTAATATTTTTGCATAAATTTACAAATTCTACGTTTCGTTTAATTTCGCAATCCAATTGATGAAATTTGAATAAGCTGATTTGTTTGGAAAAATAGTTTGATAAAAAGCCTACTTCGTGGTTTTTACGTACCCTAGTAACGCCAACTGCAATTTGTACCCACTTTCCTGTTTGTACGTCTCCACACTGGTTTCTTCGGCTATTTTAGAGGGTGTTATGGATAGACTAACAAAAGTTACAGAATTTTATATATAGATTACTGAAAAAAGCAAAATAAAAGAAAATTGAAAAATGTGAATGAGATTCCCTAAGTTAACATGTAGATATGTGGGACATCAAAATACAAATTTAATGCCCATTAAGTTTACGAAATTGATATATTATTCTGTTGCATACTATTTACATTATTCGGACTATTGTACACATCTTTGTCGCCATATTTATTAGAATGTTTCGGCCTTCTTCAGGTGGTTGGAATGTCGAACTGAATCCTTTATTTCGCTCACTGGGGTAGACTGATCAAGTTCCACGTGCCATGTTTAATGGATGTCAGTTATCAGTTATCTCCTGTTAATTCACCTCTCCAAGTTCTCCACTGCCTTAACCGCGTATTGAACTCACACTGTTTGGGTCCTGTCACTGGATCTAACCAACGCGTTTATCCACTGTGCCATGTGTGAGTTCAATACCCGGTTAAGGCAGTGCTGAACTTGAAGAGGGGAATTAAGAGGAGAAATCTGATAAGTGACATCCATTAAACATGGTACGTGGAACTAGAACAGTCTACCCCAGTGAGCGAAATAAAGGGTTCAGTTAGACATTCCAACCACCTGAAGAAGGCCGGAGCGACAACGGCCGAAACGTTGTAATAATTATGGCGACAAAGATGAGGAAAATAGTCCGAATAATAGTGTACATAATACTTCATCTCAGAAATACAGACATATTCTGTTGCATATTGTGTCAGAAGTAAATGTGTGTTTATTACACGATTTTATTTCAAATATATAAAGTTTTCTAGAGTTCATTTTTCTGTTTATTTAAAATATTTGAAATATGTGTTCACGAAATAAATATTTACAGAAACGCGCTATTCTTTAGGCACTGGGCAGATATGTTTATTTTGTTGGTCTGTCTCCTCAAGTATCCAAGGTAACAGAATAGATGTTAAGACTGTCTGAGTTAGTGAGATAGTTAACAAGCTCATCTCGTAAAACCTTTCTATTATGCGGCTACAGCGATTCTCACTGGAATTCGACAATCGAAGCTCTGTTTCTAGACAAAGATGTGCAAAATAAATTAGCTCTCGTTTGACTAGGAATTTGCGGAGCGAAAAGCGAAGGAAGTCATCAGTCAGATCCATTGTCCATTAGTGTTGGCGTTTAACATCTTCGTCGAAAATCAATCCTTGAATTCCTCTCCGCGTCTCATAACTAAATGAATGAGCAAAATCCCAATGCTTGACTAGCCAATCTTTCTCAGCCTGCAAAGACATGAAAGACGTCGTTTGAATCATCCAGGCTCTCATTTCTAAAGGCACACATTGAGAGTGAATGCGCTCCAGGGAAAGAAAAATAAATGAGACCCAATGACTGCCTCAATGAAATCAGCTCAAGTGCATGCAAGTTTCTCCGGGTCGTTGTGGATGGACGAGTCATTCACCGCTTATAAGGTCAAGACAAAGAGCACTGGAGCGAACCTTGAACCGAGGATCAACTTAGACGAAACAATTAATTTCAAGGGAGTCTAATAAGATTGGGTAGCTGGTCAGCATTTGTTACTGACAGAGCAAAAGGGAATTGGCAATGATCTTAAAGTGGACAGATGTTCATGATTTATCAATCTCAATCACTTTATTACGATCACAAACTTATCACTCTCTATATCTGTATGTCTCTCACTCTCTCACTATTTTCATACCCCCCGCACTTTTTTCAGTGTGCTAGTATCTGCTGATACTGTATGGCACTTTCATATATGTCTACTAACCTACCGGCGCAGTATCTATCTATCTATCTATCTATCTATCTATCTATCTATCTGATTTGAGTAACACGCCACAAAAATTTGTAAAAGTATTTATGATACAATATATATATATGATATATTTATGATACAAATATATATATATATATATATATATATATATATATATATATATATATATATATATATATTGTTAAGTAAAAAAAAAATCTTGGTAATCTGTATGGATAATCCATTTTTTTTTTTTTTTTTTTTTTTCTTTTTTCTTTTTTTTCCCCATATCATTTCCGGTGAGTTGACCGATTAAATAGGTCAATGTCTGATCCTTACCCTCCTTCAATCCTCCTCAAGGTTAAGTATTGTAATAAAAATAAAATAAATTTTAAAACTCCTTTCCCTCTCTAATTTCGACCATGTCTCTCACACTATCCCTTACCACCCTCTATGTCACATTATATAAGCTTAATACTACCCTTCAAAAATGTAATTTTTAAATTCATTTTTTCACCCTTGAAAGTGATGTCTAAAGATTCAGAGAAAAATTGAATCTCTGGTGAAATAAATTATAACAATGGAACCTTAATGTGGTCTTTTTTTCATTAAATTAAATTATATATAATGATATTTTTATTAAAAATATTTTACATTGCGGCACGGAAATTTCTGTTTCGAGACTTAGTTTTTTTTTTATCTCGTCATCAGGCAAGTTTCGGTATCTTTAGTGAAAATGATTTACATTTTGAAAATAGAAAACATATTTTTGCTTATTAAACAGTTTAATGTGGAGTGGGTGGGTATCCAGATTTTTTAGAGCTTATGGGTGTGTCAAATTTATATCTATATTTTTGTACCAGTGCTTTTCTTTGACCCACCGAGTTATACTGTCTCTCTTCTAAATTACTCACTTGCACTGGATTTAATTATATTTTGGCACAAGGAAAATAGATCACTATTTCCCTTATTTTATTATCCCACAGTTATCCATTTGCATTATTTGTACATACCACCATAATAGGCATGTGGCCCAGTGTTTAGAACGGTAAATTTGCTTTCTAATGCCCGCACGCTTAATATCTCTTAAAATATTCCGAAATCTTCATAATTCCGTGTAAATGTACATGCTGAACTCGAATTAACATTTAAATTATGAAGAAGGGACAAATTACAAAAAATTAAATAGTACAATAAACCGGGTTAAGTTTATGGGTAGGTGTTAGGGTTAGGGATGGGGTTAGGGTTGTTTCTGTGTAGAAAAGGGGACAAATTAAAAAAAAAAATTAAATAATACAATCAAGACCTTATTTTGTTTTTACATTATCAAGTTTGCGCATTAATTATTGTTTATTTTTTATTTTCAGTTTTAAAATATAAAAAATGCTTTATTGTATTATTTAATTTGTTCTGTTAATTTGCCATTGCTATTCTACAAAAAAAAGTGTTATTGTATTATTTAATTTGTTTTTGTTTGAAGTTTTCTGTTATAAATAAAACTACATTTATCAAAAAAACATAGCTTTACGAAAAAAGTGATATAGCTGTACAAGAGGTAAATAGGCCAAAATGTATGCTTACGCCACCAAAAGTACTCCGCAGTGAATTACTGAACATTATTGCAGTAATAGCGGACGAATGACCAACAAGATGACCGATTTTTTCTTGTCGAAAACGGTCAGTTTCTTCATTTAATTGTTAATTCCAGTTTAGCGTGTACATTTGCGCGGAATTATGCCGATTTGGAAAACGTTTAAGAGATAGTTATCGCGCGGGCATTAAAAATCAATTTGACCGTTAAGACTTCGTGATATCGCACTGGAGAAGTCGATCTCAACTTGCGGCACCTTTGGAAAGTGTCTGAAAACTATACTACTTGATTGTCCCAAGCCTTGTGAGTAAAATTAGTTAGACGGAATCATTGAGGGCTTGAGTGTGCTGGCCTTGTTAAAATTCTTCGTCACACTCTCTCCCAGAAACTATAACTAAGGTCTGCTCAGCATAGTTACAGTATAAATCACAGCTCTTGAATAAAGGCAAATGCGCCTGAGCAAGTGTCTGCAATAAGGATTGGCTAGTCGCCCTATTAGATGGGTATCCTAGAATACGATTGGCCAGCTATACTATATATTAACACTGCTTTCAGCCTTTACTTAAATTTTGGTTTGGTTTGGTTAGTTTAAATCCCATTAGCATTTTAACTCTATTTTGTCTAACTTCGAAGGTCTACCTGTTTTTTTTTGTTCTTTTTTGTATTCAGAACGCTCCCAGCTTCAATCTGTTTCTTCTTATCTATTGAACAGCTTCATTTGATATTCTTTAGTAATTTCACGTTAACTCATTCTTTGTGACATTTGATAATTTTCATTTCCTTCTCCAAAGAAGCATTCGTCCTTGCTTCAGTGATCTCGTTAGCATCCAGGCTGAATTTTTCAATTCCTCGATCTCTCAATCAAATTGTAGATTTCTTTACTTGTTTCCTTAGTAATTCTGATGGACAATCTACTCTACTTTATCTGTTCATTACATCCTCTCCAGACTCATCGTTGACGCCATATTTATTACAATGTTTCGGCCTTTCAGTATCTGTCTATATTTCTCAGATGAGTTATTAGGTACACTATTTACATTATTCGGACTATTGTACTCATCTTTGTTGCCATATTTATTACAACGTGTAGGCCATTCATATCTGTCTATATTTCTGAGATGAGGTATTATGTACATTATTTACATTATTCGTACTATTGTCCTCATCTTTTACGCCATATTTATTACAACGTGTAGGCCTTTCAGTATCTGTCTATATTTCTGAGATGAGGTATTATGTACACTATTT